ACAGTCGTAAAAAGAGAGAAATTCTGTCATTTTGACATAGATGTCACAGAGGACATTACATTAAGTGAAATAACCTAATGGCACACAGGGAAGTCATATACTGCATGATCTTGCATATGGAATCTAAAAAAGGCAAACCACATAGAAGCAGAATGGTGGTTATCTGAGTTTGGAGGATAAGAGAAACAGGGAAACATTGGTGGACAAGTACAAAGTTTCAGTTATGTAGGATGAATAAACCCTGGAGATCCAATGTACATGTTGAGTGTTGGCAGTCAATAATATTGTATCGTATACTTGAAATTGCTAGGAGGGGGCTGGAATTGTGGCTCAACAACGGTGGAGTGCTCACCTAGCACATTCAAGGTCCTAGGTTCGATCCCCGGCACCACATAAAAATAAATAAATAAAATAAAGGTATAAAAATTATTTTTAAAAAATTGCTAGGAGGACACATCTTAAATGTTTTCAACACACACGCACGCGTGTGCACACGTGGTAATTATAAGAGGTGATATAGTAATTAGCATGATTGTGGCAATTATTTCACAATGTACACGTATATATCAAAACACCAATTATTTATTTATTTATTTATTAGGTATACATGGACATAATATATTTATTTTGTTTGTTTATTTTTTTATGTGGAGCTGAGGATCGAACCCAGGGTCTCTCATTTACGAGGCGAGCGCTCTACCACTGAGCCATAACCCCAGCCCCAATTATTTATTTTTAAGTTATTTTTATTTATTCCTGAATAAAATTGAGGAAAAAACAATCTAAAAGGATTACAGAATATATCCTAAGTTTCTCCAAATGGGGTTTGTACATTGTGAGTGATGTGTGTGCAAGACAACATATTTAGATGTGGGAGGAAAATGACTCATTTTCATGTATTTAGAATTGTTACTAGTATTTTATACACCGAATGACACCAACACACACCCATCTTTATCACAGATGACTGCAATCAAGTGTGTGGGATGGAAGCTGAGAGAAGACTGGGGATGCCACTGCATGTAGGATGACAGGCATTCTACTACTACTCTATTCATTTGCTTGTTCCCTTTAAGCTTATTGTGACATAACTGTATATATTACTAAGTTAAAGAACTCATGCATTATACTATGTCATATTGTATTAACAGAACTATCACAAATTGAATAAGCGGCTTAAAAAACACTCCTTCCAAGAAACCACAGGTTGAAAAAACCAGCAAAGCAAGCACAAACTATGAAGGAAATACACTCTATTCCCTTTACCAGCTTCATGAGGAATTAAAAAGAATAATCATATCTGATAATTTAATGTCATTTCTTCCCATTAAAACTCACCAGGATTTGAAAAATCAATTTATATTCATTATTGCCCCAAGTATATTTGATCAAGGTATTAACTACTGATAGTATGAAGTATTATAATTAACAAAATATTTTAAGATTTATAAAACATATAAATCTTCACCATGTCATTGTAGATATTATTTACATATAAGCATAGTGGTATGTTTATGGGGGGAAGTTTAAACGTTTTTTTAACAATGAAGGTGTGCAATCAAAAAGCTCTTGAGGTCATTATCTAACATAGCCACATTTCCCTTTGTGGATCTGTAATTTCAAAAATTAATTAAAAATTTAAAGTAAGTATCATGGAGAAAGTAAAATAGTAGTTACCAGAGACTGGGGAGGAGAATAGAATGGTAAAGTTTTAATGGATATTTCCAGTTTGGAGTTCCCCCCACCCCAGAGTTGGGGATCAAACCCAGGGCCTCACATGTTAGACAAGCACTCCAGGCTGAGCTACATTCCCAGCCCCAGTACTCCATTACAAAGGAAAAGTTATGCTGATGAATGGTGGTGATGGCTGCAATTATGGAGGTATTTAATATCACTACATACTTAAAGTGTGTAAGATGTAAATTGTCATGGGCAATCTAAAACAAAAATTAGGGAACAAAACTAGTAAGAACAAAGATTTCTAAATATAGCAAATGTTATACTTTCTTAATTAGAACACAACTCTATTCTTTTATAAAGGGCAAAGCAATGCCTTTCTAAACCTAAAATCCTTTTTTTTCCCCTCCAGTAGGTCAAAAATCTTTTACAGAAAAAAATCAACTTCCTCCTCTCTTTTATCCCAATCCTCTGCCATCTTAAGGGTAACAATGCCCCCCACCCCATGTGAAATGCAGTTTCCTACATGTGAGGAAACAGAGACTGAATCAGAAAAGTTACTCTTTGTCATGTACAAAAAAGAATAAATTCAAAAAAGAAAGGAAAGAAGTTACTCTTTAAGCACCTTTTAAACTTTTGTGGTTCTAGACCAAGTAGTCCTTCATTGCTTCAGCTGAATTTTACACTTTCACTCCTAGATTATTTTAACTCTTTTCTCTTAACCTCTATAATTCTTTCTTGATCCGAATGGCACCACATAGTAAATGCAGAAAGCACAGTGACTGGGTACTTTTCGTTGAACATGTGTTAATATGAATTATGGATATTTCTTATAGAACTATTCCATACAGGAGATGATTTGCACGACTGTTTATCTTCATGAGCATGTAGCTTTGCAAAACCCAAAGCTTTCACTTCCACAGTATACAGGGATTTATGCACACTTAGAAAGTCTATGGAATTTAATTCTTTCTCTCTATATATATTCAAGAGAAACTTACTAGAACTCTCTTTTTTTTCTTTCTTTTCTTTTTTTTTTTTTTGATACTGGGGGTTGAACCTGGGGTGCTTAACCTTGAGTTACATCCTCAGCTTTTTTTATTTTGAGACAGGACCTTACTAAGTTGTGTAGGGCCTTGCTAAATTTCTGGGGCTAGCTTTGAACTTGCAATCCTCATGTCTCAGAATCCAAAATTGCTGGGATTACAGGCATGCTATTAGAAGCATTTTTAAAAGCCAGTTTGATCTATCATTTTACTTGAGTTTGTCATTATTCACCACTCATACCCAACAAGAAATTATACCTGTTAAGTACAGTTAAATGCTACAACTCAATGGCAATTTGGTATACTCTTTCTTAATTTTAGGCCACATCACCCCGCAAAAGAACAAATCCATCTCTCACCTAATCTCATGTACAAGAAAAACAACCCAGGAGTGACAGACATAATTTACTCTTTTAAAGGCCATTTAAAATTCAATGACTGCATTGAGGGGCTTTTTTTCCCCCCACAAAAACATTTTATATTTAACTCATCAGCTCTCTGAATTAAAATTAAGGAATTATTACATATAGCAGTTATACAAAAACACTTTAGTTCAATGTTTTATGTGGTAGGCAGAATTCTAAAATTCTTAAAATTCTCATGCCCTGGTATACATACCTTTTATAATAATAAATCCCCTCTCCTGGATGGTGGGTGGAACCTGTGACTATGATGGAAATATGATTATTACCTTATATGGCAAAGAGGATTTTGCAGATAAATAATTAAGGTTGACTGAATTAACCAAAAGCGGGAATTATCACTGGATTCTAGCTATTCACTTAAGCCCTTTAAATCAGGGTTTAAAGATGAGAGGGAAAGAAAGTAAAATGGTTTAAAATGTGGTTCTGCTGGTCTTGAAGGAGCACATTGCCATGTTGTGAAGTGTTAGGTCGTAGGACATGGCACCAAAGTGCAACAGTCCCAGGTCAACAGCAAGAAAACAGGAAGCTCAGTCCTATCACCCACAAGGAAGTGAATTGGATAACTTGAATGAACCTCAGATGGCTTAACAGAGTCATTTGAGTGATTCCAAAAGTCCATGACTCAATAGAGAACACAGTGGGTTGTGTTTGAACTTCTACAGAATTGTGAACAAATAAACGGTTGTTGTTTTAAGTTGTTAAATTTGTAGTAATTGGCCATGCAGTCATTACATGGGAATTAACTTATATATAAGGGAAAGGGAATGAAGAGGAAATTGAAAAGGGGGAGTAAAACTGGTGGGAAAGGCTCACAGGTTTTCATGTTGCATGCTCAGTCATTTCACAATTTTGTTGGTTTCAAGATAATCCTCTAGATATCCAAAGAATACACTAAGGTTTCTAGTTACGTATTTCTTATCCTTAAAACTTTACATTTTTGGATATATATAATAATGTACACAATAAAGTGTATGTGGATAACTCAAATATTCATGTACTTAGGAATTCTGGTTAAAATAGATACTTGTCCCTCAAAATCTCTTATTTCTTCCATCTATTTTAATGAAGTTTGAATCTATTCTAAACTCTCAAATTATTTGGTATTCTTTTAGGCATCTTATAACCCTATAGACTATCTTTCTAATTGCTTCTAGGAGCCCAAACAAGTTAATTTTATTGACCAAGGCAATGCCATCAAACATTTGAGAATTACATTTGGGTCACTTTTCAAATCAGAATTCCAGGCCTCTTTCCCCTCCTCCCCCGATTTAGGATTGAACCCAAGGTCTCACCCATACTAGACAAGCAATGTAACATTCCTAGTCCTTAAAATATATAAGTATATGTTTTGAGATAGGGTCTAAGTTGTCCAAGCTAGCCTTGAACTTGTTATCTTCTTGCCTCGGTCCCCATAGTAGCTGGGATTACAGATGGTTGACACTGAGCCTAACTAAATTTCTCCTTTAAAGATCAAATTTAGTAGTTATGGGGTAACCTGGAAATCTGTTTATAATGTCTAAATCATTCTCATTCTTACTAAACTGGGCACCCAGGAATACACTCAGCTTAAACAAGTGGAAAGCATGGTCTTTAAAAGAAACACAACTATATAATTCCTTAAAACAGAATGTGAACTATAAAGTATCCATACATATGTATGTGGGAAGCTACAAAATACAAATTAGAAAGTATCTGAATGTATCTTGCTTTCAGTATTTACTTGTGATATATCATGTCCATGCTGAATGGACATTCTGGAATGCTAGAACATGTAAATAATTTTTCAAGTTTTTTTTTCCTGCAATAGTATTATGGAAGAGTCTGTGAACTAGTAAGCAACCTTTGTACCACATGTGCTTATTCACCAAATTTATTTTTGAACATTCAGAACACCAGATTATGACATTAAAAAGAAAGCACCAAAATTGCTACACATTAATACCTGAGCAGAGACTGAAGGCAAATATTCATCTATAAACTTACACCATAATGTGGAAACATAAGAAAAAAAATTCACAACACTCTATGAAGCACAATAAGTAGCACTTTTTCTGAATTACAACCAGTTAAATGTAACAATGTTAATTACATCATACCAAAAATACACACAAAATTACACATAAGTGTATTTAGTACACCATACATTGTACAAAGTACTGGAGAAGATCATGCATGTTTAAATGGAAAGATCCTCGAGGTGACAATAATTTTTCAATATATATACTACAGGACAAGTTCCTTTGCACTATTAAGTACTGTTATTATCCAATGTACTTTCTGGATGAGAACAAAATCAATTTGCTAATAAATGATTTCTTACTGAGTCTATCTCAGAACAACAAACTTTGTCCTCTGTAAAATTTTTAACTGTGATATAAAAATTGATGTAGGTTGAAAGCCACTTATTTACTACATACCCTTGCCCAAATTATTTTCTTGTCAATTTGACCAGTCTTGACGGAAAGACATAACATCTTTCTATATAGTTTTAGAGAAACCTACCTTCTTGTCTTTGAGGGATGGTAGTGGAGGTAAAATAGAAGGAACAAATATGTTGAGTCTATGTTCAAAACTAAAATTGAGAAATAAAACACACACTCTGAGAATACAGAAATGTGGGCATCTTTTAGCAGAAAACATGACTTTCTTATAAATGGAATAATTCGAACTTTAATAGAAATTGTGCCATTATTTTAAATAAGCACAGTAAAGATACAAGACTATACATTAAAAACAAGCAAATAAAAACTGGAGCCAGTTTTATCTTGGTATCTTAAAAATAACTAGGAAGGAAAAAGAAAAGAGAAAAATGTTAAAAATATACTACATGAATCTGAGTTTAATTGCTAAAAAATCATTATTGGATAAATGAATCTTACTTGACACATACAAACACAAACCTCAACAATCTACAGAAAAATGAATACAGGTCTTAGGAAAGAGCTTGCATCTTTGTTAGACTACTCATTAATATGACAAAAAAATTACATTTTGAAGATTTGATTTTCTATGTACAATATGTTCATAGGTGCCATGACCTTCTCCTAAAATAATGTTGTTGTTGTTGTTTTACAAAAACTTTAGCCAAACTTAATTTTCTACATCTATGTGGCCTAAGTTAATCTTAATTTGAAAACAAGAACTCTGGAAATTAAGGGCGGCCTCAAGAACAATAGTTCTGCAAATATTAAGTGAACTACTAGTCAGCTTTTAAAATTTTTCTCCAACTTCAAAGAAAAGGATTTGGGACCAGTTTGAAAAGGCCACCCACAATAAAATATACAGGTATAAAATTGCAGGGCATTTCTTTATCATTTTAAGGCACAGTCTTTTTTACTCCAAATGACTACAAGTTAAAGGTCACAGTGATATATATTTAATTTTGGTCTGGTTTCTCATGGGTATGTTGCTACATTTATAGTTAGTCTTAAGTTTAAGAAACTGTAATACAATCACTTCAAAATAATATATTTAAGTCATTTTTATGTTTTCAAAAATGTAAATACATAATACAATTTCCTAATATATATATACACACTAAAAATTGGATTTTCTTCCCACCCCCACAACAGAGGAGGACAAAGTTATTTCTATCAGTATTACATCAAATACCTATTTGACAATGTAGAAAGCATGATTATGTTAAAATACAGATATCTCCTATTTAGGATAAATTGTTCAACACAGAGGACAAACTCATTCCAAAGGACAGTATATAGTAAATTCAGATTTTGTACATTGTCTTTTAACTAATATCACCCACAGTCCCCATTAGATAATTGGATAAACTGTTATTAAATCAAGGCCAAATATTTCAACATTTGCTTTTCTGTGCTATGTCTTTACTTCCAACAATACTTATGCAAACTGTATCAACATTACTGGGCAGAGAAATGTGATTAAATGATGGGAAACACTATGAAGGTCTGAAACATCCTTAAAATTTATATGAGAAATTAAAGCATTTCAAGTAGATAAACAGCAGTTTCTGAGCCTATCATATTTCCACTTTTCTCTCACAAGTACCACCATATTAATGTAACCTTTAGCATTAACATTTTGATTGTTTTATAATATTTTCCTTTAAGATTCACATATTAAAAAGTTTATTTCATTATACTTTGCTAGGGTCTGGTGGATAATTTCCCCATATGACCATATAAAGGGAATGAGTGGAAACATATAGAAAACAAAAGAAATTGCAAACTTTCAATTAACATAAATAAGACACCCATACTTATACAACAAAAATTAATGTCTTATATCACAAAATTAATCAAAACCAAAATTATTTCAAATGATTATGTCAATGATGAAAGGTCAGTATTGGGTGACCTGATTTTTACCAAATAAAATCAAAACATTAAAAAATCATACAAAATATAATATACTATACCATAATTGAGTATTTTCAAAGAAAAATTAGAATATGGAATTTTCATGATATACACATTTATTATAAGTCCTAAATGAAGAACACTGAAAAAGATTATTTTTGCTTTAATCCCAATATGTTAAGAAAGTTTCATTGGCACAAATATCCAGAGGTATTTTACAATTTCATTTAGCTTTGGTGGTAAAGTATGTTTAGCAGATTAATACAGTCAGTTTTCAATACAGAGCTTTGATGCTAATAAGAATTCAAATGTATTTTCTTCCTAAAAAAGGATGTAAAAGTCCAATATGAAACAGAACAAGTGCAACATGAAATACAAAATATGCCTATCATTTAGGCTTTTGAACAGTTAATAGCTATGCTTTGTCTATAATTTTTTTTACTCATAACATTACTACTATATAAATACTAAAAGTCAAAATAACATTAAAAATAGCATATGAACTTTACAAAAATGGCTACTTTTAGATTTCCTAAACTAGGATTAGAATTTGAATATTCGAACAAACTTATCCTAATTAAAATACACCAACAGATAGTTTTTCATAAATGTTGAAAGTTACAATGTACAGAATGTTTACAGATTGATCTGAATCTTATGCAAAATCCTCAGAAATTAACTGGTTTCCTGGTATCTAAAATCTTACATTTTGAGCAGCATAACATGCCAAACACTTTTAGAAAGTACTTTACTTGATTTAAAAAGCATTAACCTAAGACAATTTAATCAAGATGTATCTTAGAATATCACTTAACTTTTGAACAACGCTGTTATCAATTTAGGTGTATTGTCACATTTATATTATTAATGCAATAACAGTTTGTCTATTCTATTTCCAAAGTTTTTTCTGTTCTTTGAACTAAGTTACTAAGATATAAAATTCAGTTTTCCCTATTCATAATATAATTTATTTAAAACAATATGAATTCTTGAGCAATCACAGTACACACATTTGCACTTGGATCACTGACTCAAATTTTCTTTCCTATTGTCCTTATGAAAAGTAAATGCTTATTTTCTCAATTTACTAAAACTTATTGTGAAAGAATCCATGAGTAATGTGTATAAATAAACTTCAGAATTTGAAATGTTCTTAGTTCAAAAAGACTGGGATAAAAGTTCAGCTTCCACATAATTTTGTAAAAGTATCTTCTGCCTTTACATTTATTTGCTAAGAAAGTTTTCCTGGCAGGGTTTAATTTCCTGAAAGAAAGATAACTTTTATTGCTCCCTTTTATTCTGGTGAGCAAATGGCACAGTCTCCCAATTGATTTTCCCCTTTAATAAACTTCACAAGGTATTTTGTTTCCTATGGTATACAAATTCAAAAAATCCTACAACACTGAGAAAACACAATGTGATGATGAAAAATAATCAACAAATGCCTCGTCAAAGAAAGTCTCAACACCTTTTTGGGTTTTCCTCAAATGGTTTTAGTAACCATTTCCTAAAATTTCAAATGCAGCACTCTAAGGTTTTGCACTAAACTAAATAATAATATAAGACATTACACTAATTTAGAACCAATGTAAGATGGAAATTAGGCCAAGTGATTTATCTAGAGATTCAGGAATCAGATTTTTATTTATGTTTCCCTATTTTTCCCAGAGCTTTAAAAAGCTACATTGAAAGGTGTGTTTTATTTCCTTTTATTTCCCTTGAACACTTTCTTTAAGAAATGCTAACAGGTAGTCAGGTTAAATGAACACATTATGCTATAAATGAGAAGGCTGGAGAGTCAAGGAAGCTATAGGAACTAGAAAATGAAAAAAAACAACCTACTTTATAACAAGTAGTGTCTAAACGAGTGATAAAATAAGCAGTAACAAACATTTAGTAGGCCTACCTACTATAGTTCCTTATTTTTCTTTACTAAATTATCATGTGGATATTAGTATAGTTAGTTCATCCAAGAAAAGGAATTCCATCATACACATCTGAGTTTATCTGACCAAAATATTAAAAGATTAATCAATGTATTATTAAATAATTATTACATGAAAGGGATTCAAAATCAATGTTAAAAAAGGCATAGTGGCTTTTTAAAAACCACTGCTTTAAATATTTTCATTCTGGCAAAAATGAAGAAAATAAGAAACTAATTTAACTCTGGCATGAAAATGATCCAGAAATAAAAAAGTTTAACAGGTGCTGATGGTATGCCTCAGTGGTAGAGTGTGTTCTTAGCACGTGAGAGGGCCTGGGCTGGATCCCAGGGACCTACCCCCACTACCAAACACCATGTTAATGATTTCTATCATATTATCAGTTCTAGATTATAACAGCAGCAACTCCAGGGGAGGCTTTAGAAACACGGAAAGTATCCAATGTTTTCCCCTGTCCAATCTATATCCGATCTAGTATCAACAACAATGTCTAGGAATTATTTTATATGCAAAAATGTTTGCTCAAAACTTGATAATTTTCTAAATAAAAATGCCTTAGGAGAACACAGAAATTTGCAGAACTAGATTATCTCTAGCTGCCAATAAATAATTTCCTTTTCAGTAACTCTGCTAATAGATCTGTGCTGTTTTGTAGGATAATAAAGATTGTAAGCATGTTTCCCACAGTGTGTAATGTATAGGCCAAGGAGTTTTCCTAATGATAGAAATAATCCATTTTGCTAATCCTCAGATGGAACCTACCTCTCACCTCTGGTAGCTACCTGAATTTAAAGTGCTTGATGAAGACCCTGTCAAAAATGTGTATATGTATGTATATTTGTATACATACAAATATAATGGCTAATGACCTAAAGTACTACTGTTTATAAAATGTTTAATTAATTTTGTAGTCCTTAAAATGAAATATTTTGTTGGCTTAAGTAAGACTTTAGAACTTGTTGGTAAGTACACTCCCACATATATATGTGGTTTGCCACAGAGACAAGTGTATAATCTAATAAAAATCTCTTTCCTCTCAGGTATTGAACATTCAAGCATTTTGTGGTTTATTATTTTTGCTATTTCTCTCAAACAAATAAAAGTCTGGTATGTCTCTAAGTTTACTATGCCTCCACTTTAATGGTGTTGGTAAGTGATAATATGAATATTGAACAATAAGCATAAAACTGAAAATGACAACAACGGAATCATGCAAACTTACAACCCTCAGGTGAGAATAAGACCTTCTCTGACTAATGCTAAAAACAAGGACCTGAGGAGGAATTAAGAAGGGAAATGAGTTAATGCCCCACAGTTATTAAAGTGGAAGGGATCCTCTATAGAATTAACAGCTTAGAGGTTGCAATGGAATCCAGATACAATGGCAGATGAAATAAAACTGATTCTCTAGGACGTCCCAGGGTACTAACAAGGACACAATTTTACATGTGTGACCATGGAATCACCAAACTTAAGGACATTACTTAAGAGGTTTGGAGTATTTATAGCACACACATCTAAAAGAAGGGCTCTATGAGCCAGGTATACTTCAGCCTGAGTTTATTCTATGTGAAGGCAAAGAGTATTATTTTCTTGTACTATGCTCCATCACCTTCTTCAAACTTTTGTTATTAAGAGTGAATCAAAATTTGAAATGAAATAGAAACGTTACTCTTATTTGTCAAACAGTAATTCTAGAAGTCACATAGGCAAATCAAGATTCTACTGTTAAATCTATTGGCTAACATCCCAATTTATTGAGGTGTATTGTTTATATTTATGCTATTAATATGATAATACCTGTTTACTGTTATCCCATTACAGTATAGTTTCACACATCAAATGTGATACTATACTTGTGATCATGTTGATTTTTTTTTCACAGTAGACAAAAAATGGTGCAAACCTATAGTTGTTTCTGACCACTGGAGTTGTTATTTCAATAATCTATCATAGCCTGAAAATCTTTTGGCAACCATGGATGCAATGAATTATTCAAATGGTATAAACCAAACAAACTACTCCAATCCCAATATCTGTGAGAATGTTCTTTAAATTTAACAACAGATTTCTTAAATGATGCCCTGATATTCACCAAGAATATATGATAACAGAATTTCATTGTTTTGAGTCTGAATCATGTTTCCATCATCAGTCTTGCTCTGGTTACCAAAAAGCAGGTCTCCTTATAATTCAAAGCTTTATTTCCATAGATGTAAGAAGACAAAAGGTCTATTCTGTTCACCCTGGCTGCCGAAAACCAACCAAAGACTCTTTGTGGTAATTTAACTTCTGAGAAACCAAACAGAGTGGATTTTGTCAGTCTTTTCTTTCTTTCATTTTTTTCTTTTTGGTCAAATTTTTAGGACTTCTTTTTCAATATGTAAGATTACATATTGAAAATAGAAAACAGATAGCAAATATAAAACAACCTACAGAAGAAAGCTTGATGAAACAAGCAGAATGTTTGATGTGAGACTACAAACAATGTTGTATCTACTGAGTCTCTAGAAAAAGATCCTTGGTATGGCTGATGAAGTAGACTAGATGATATGCACAGGAGTCCTCAAAGCCAGGGGCCATCATATTTCTCCACTAATTTTGCAAAATGACTAATACCTAGATGCCACACCACAAAACAAAACCATGCTTCATCTGTTTTCCTCAAGCATTACAAAACTAATTTCCTATTTTCAATACTGTAAAAATAGACTTGTCTTCTCCAAAGGATCTTGCTGCCCATATTGGTGGATCTGTATGTTCACTCTTATTACTGGCCCTAAAGGCATAAATCATCTTTATCATCATGTAAGTCCAGTCTTACATAAAGTTGCATAATGCATGGAGTAAGAGAGGTATGAAGACAAAGCATGGAACCCTGTATAAGTGTGCTGACCCAAAAGCAATCACACCAACAGCCAGAGGAAGTGGAAATTGTGAGGCAGTCTTCAACAATTTACTGTAAAGACAGAAATATACATTGTTATGTAAACTGCAATGTGAGCTAAAACAGAATATGTCAATCTTTTATAGTTTTGGGAAAGGTAAGTATTCTAAGTAATTGTAAATGAAATAATTTTTAATGTAATAAATTTACCTGTTCATGATTTTTTTTAATATTTATTTTTTAGTTATAGTCGGGCACAGCACCTTTATTTATTTATTTATTTATTTTAATGTGGTGCTGAGGATTGAACGCAGGGCCTCGCACATAGTAGGCGAGTGCTCTACTGCTGAGCCACAATCCCAGCCCTGTCCATGATTTTTTAAAAAGAGAAATATGAGCTATATTTTGACCAGAAAAGGGGAAAACATTTCTATTCAGAAAACAGCTAGTTTGGTTTAGTGTTTCAAATTTTAACAACAGAAAAATATTAGATGGACTGTTACTCCGCAATACTACTTCTAAAAATTTATCCTAGCAAAAATAATGCTATTCACTAAGATAGAGCTACAGAAATGTTTATTTTAATCTTAGTTACGGTAACAACAAAACAAGCAAACTCAGAAGGAATTTTTCTTTACTTATTGATTTGTACTGGGGCTTAAACCCCGGGGCACTTTACCAGTGAGCTATATCTCTTGTCCTATTCATTTTTTATTTTGAGACAGGGTCTCGCAAAGTTGCTGAGGCTAGCCTTGAACTTGCAGTTCTCCTGCCTCAGCCTCCTGAGTCACTGGTGTGTGCCACTGCACCCAACAGGAACCTTCTTTAATTCCCAAAATGAAAGAACCATGTAAGTTAAGACATAAATGTTTTAAAAACAATACTACTCCCAGGAAAGACTATCACCATTTTACTCTGAAAAGAGAGAAAGTGCAGATAAGAAGGGTTAAAAAGCTTGCTAAGGACATAAAAATATTGAATGGCAGAGCTAATATATGAGCCCCAGGTTGGCTTGATTCCAGAAATTTGCATATATCTTCCAGAATCAACTGAAAAGGCTCCCAGAGCAAACAACCAGTGAATGAAAAGCCAAATACTATTATGGAGAATTTAATCATATTCAAAAGAAGTCTAATGGCATAATGACCCTTCATGAAGTGCCTGTTAGCCAACTTCAAAAATCATGGCCAATCTGAACTTCCACTCTTCCTGTACTTTTTAGAAGTAAGTCTTAGATATCTTTTAAGGGTTAACTTTTTAAAGAAAATAACCCATATTATTACATCCTAACAAGTAAAACTTATAATTAAAATAAGTATAGCATACTTACATAAAAACCCGTAATACTGTTACTTTTAGGAATAATTAAATTAACTACAAATAAATAATATGCTTCCGAAATAAAAATAAAGTGTGAAAAGGGTCAGGAAAAGATGTAAGAAAAAGAAAGATTAATGTATCATACCTTGATTTTATTGAAACTGTGTAAGTATTTCCAAGAACTGCCATAGTTGGAATAAGGATAAATGCCAAAGGTTTACATGGATCAGGATTAAGTTTAAAATAATACCTATAATAAAAGAAAAGAAAAACCCCATAAGTCAACAAAACAGAACTGTTTGCTTTAAAAATTAATCAACTAATTAGGTACTAGAGATTGAACCCAGGGGTTCTTTATCACTGAGTTACAACCCCAGCCCTTTTTATTTATTTATTCTTTGAGACGTAGTCTCACTAAATTGCTGAGGCTGGCTTTGAGCTTGCAATCCTCCTGCTTCAGGATACCAAGCTGCTGGGACTACAGTTGTTTGCTACCACACCTGGCTTGATCTTTTTTTTTTTTTTTTTTTTGGTACCGGGATTGAACTCAGGAGCATTCAACCATGAGCCATATCCCCAGCCCTATTTTGTATTTTTATTTAGAGAAAGGGTCTCACTGAGTTGCTTATCACCTTGCTTTGTTGAGGCTGGATTTGAACTTGAGATCCTCCTGTCTCAGCCTCCCATGCTGCTAGGATTATAGGCATACACCACCGTATCTGGCTTAGCTTGATCATTTTAAATTACCAGAATCAATTAAATTCAATAATTTTCAAAACATTCCAATAGCAACATGGATAAAAGAGAGCTCTAAACAGCTCCTGAAATCTTTAATATGTACTTTTTTGCTCTAGATCATCCTTATAACCCAAGGTTTTATATGGAGAATTATGTCAGATACTACTAAAGAAATAAAAACACCCAAAATGAAAGACTTCCCTTTTATAATCAGTTTATGTCTTAAAGGTAGTATATAGTTTTTAAAAGGCAAATTATTTAAAATACATTAAAGCTGCTCTATGACAGATAAAATAAATGTTTATATAAATTAGCTGTCCCTTATCTTTTTAAAATTCAAGGATCTCATCTCTTGTATATATTGACAGTAAGATGTCTGTGGCCTTTCAGAATCATAAGTATGTGCTCCTCAAATAATTGCAACTGCAAATCTGTGAACACAAATCTGGATCTTGACTAAAATGAGGGATAAAAAGATATTAACATCTGGTAATCTTTTATTTCATTTATTGAACTTTTTTAGTTCTACCAACTTAAAAAATATTTTCAATACTTACATACTCTGAAAGCTTTATATTATTATTTTTTTGTGTGTAGGGGGCTTGACTAGTATTTGGATGAGATGGCCTTTTATTTAGAATGTACCAATAAGTAAAAATACAAATTGCTCTCTTTTTGCAGATTTTTGAAGGAGGTAATATTCCAAAAGTTTATATTTTTATAGAACAGGAGAAAATATGAATGTACTGAAAATAAATTTCAGGTTCATAGCTTCTTAAGGAATTTTCATGGACCATCAGGAATATAAGCAAGTCTCTACTTGAAGATATTCTTTGTCTAAACCACAAAAATAATAATTACATAAATGAAACACACCTAAGATTTTTTAACCAATAAATTAAAGATGGCATGCTGAGTAATACGATCCATGTTAATAAGTTAATCACAGTACTGTGCATGCGAAGACTGTCTTCAGCATCACTGGCAGATAAACGAAGATGGTGTACTGAAGAGTCTTTATGGTGATTGGATTTTTTTTCACTTCTTCTAGAGTGTTTGGGATTCTATAAAGCAATAAAGTAAAAAACATCAAGACATTAAGTACACAAAAATAAATCAGAGATATTTATTTTATTTAGAATCATAACTACTAACCAGTTAAATATGTATACCATTCCATTACCAAACTGAAATTACCTATTTAAATGGTACCTAATTAAATGATTACAGTTATAAAAGTTTTATTCTTTGACTTGCTATTTTCACTTCTGAGAATATAGTCTCTAGGTAATTACTCAAAATAAAACTTAAAAGATAATATTTTATAACAATAACAAAAATGGCATAGGTACTAACAAAGGTCAAATTAAATTTAGAATAATTTCAATGTATTTTAATAATCTTTTAAGTTCAGTTTTATTAAAGTTACTTAAAAATTCATAATACTTTCACACACTATCAAATTCTAACCTTTCTGAAAAATAAACTTATATTTTCTCATGTTCTTTCATATTAAAGCTATGTAGAGTTTTTAAAATACAACGTACCACGGGCTGGCTATTTTTAAAAGTTGTGAGGCTGGCTTGCAGATGAACAATCTAGGGGAAAAAAATAACTTTAATTTACTTGTTTTGCAAAAAAGGTATAGGAGTTTCTATTAAAATTGAGAAGCACTGTAATCTGAAATTTAAAAAATCTAAACAACTAAAAATTCATTTATACATTTAAAAACATTCTTTTAGGAAAGATAAAACAACACATACTTGCTACCATGGATTAAAAAAAGGAAATACTTGAAAAAAAAATACAAACTTCCAGAGTATATAGGGACCAGGATATGTTGCTACACCTTTTGCCTCCTGTGAACCTATGTTTGAATGATACCTTGCTATAGACATTTTATGTGTCTTATGGATAAAAAATTTGATTATATTCAATATAAGAAGTTAAATACAAATAAAGAAGAAATACAAACCAGTAATATACAGTGATGAAATATTTACAAGGACTTGAAAAATCTGTACATTTAATATATTTTAGTTCTTTAAGTATCTGAGAAAGTTTTGCTTTTGTGTCACTTGTCGGAAATACCTAACTTAAAAAACTAAATATGTTGTATTTATGAATTGAAGTAGGTTTAAATATTTTTTCAGGTGCACATAAATTCCTTTGTAAAACTGAAAATAATCTATAATGAGCATATATTAGTGTTAAAAGCAGAGGAAAAAGTATTTGTTCAAAAAAAAAAAAGTAATTGTTATCCATGTCAAATGTCTACACATGAATGTATAGGGTATGCAGTTGTAAAACCTCCTGAATTTTCCTGCAAAGTTGTCAGCCTTCTTGGAAGTGTTTTTTGCTTCTTCAGTAAAACTATCAATCCATTATTTTTATCATTATATTCTCATTTTTCTGTAACATTTCTTAATATTTTATGTTGTCTCAGCATGATTAGTAACTTGATTTCCAACTAAATTTTTGCTTTCTCTCACCCATGTTCAAAGAGAGGTACAAATAAAACCTTTCTGTTAAATTTTTTAAGTTATCATTTGCAAGAGTAAGAAGCAACAACCTAAAACAGATTATGTGTGTTTTCCTTTGTCTTTTTTTTCCTTAGCAAAAACCTCAACTCAGATGAGTAATCTCAGTTATACAGGAACTGTATACCATTTACATAACCAAGATGTTTAGAAAACCTTTATTTAAATCTATTATATAACAGAGGAGTGTTATAATAGTAATTAAAATTTTCATTAACAAAGCCTACAAGGCATTCTACACCTGCCTAACATAAAGCCCAGTCGTTCTGGCTTTACTACTGATTTGACATACCTTAAATACGTAGTAAAGATAAGAAAGAAGTATGGCAAGTGCTCCACAAGTTGTCCAACTAATTATGATCAAAACAACTGTCAAAAAAGGTAAGTCTGGTGATATCATCTTGATATCTTTAGGAAGTTCAGAGGGTCTGGAATAAGAAGAAAGTTTAAAGTAATAGAGTAACAGATATTTATACAGTCACATATAAGAAGAAAACAATATACAGGTTGAGCATCCCTAACCCCAAATTGGAAATGCTCCAAAATTCAAAAGTTTTAGCATTAACATGTTACAACTGGCAATTCCACACCTGATCTCATGTGATGGGTTACTGTTGAAATGCAGGTACACATTAAAAATATTGTATAAAACTATCTTCAGGCTATATGTATAAGGTATATAGGAAACATAAGTGAATTTTGTATTTGGACTTTGTTCCCATCCCTAAGATATCTCATTATGTACATGCAAATATTCCAAAAAAACAAAAAGTGAAATCTGAAACACCTGTGGTCCCAAGCATTTCAGAGGACTAATGAACCTGAAGTACTCTGCCAGCTTCTTCTACTTATTAGTATATAAGTGTCATGTGGTAAACAGTATCAATAAAGGCATGTGGTCACATTAATTTAAGTTCCATAATATAGTGTGACAGCTCCTTTCCCATTTAGATACACATAGCCAATACTTATACTAATGAAGACAAAAATGTTGCCAAAAAAATTAATTATAAACCCTGTGCCATACATCTCCAATCTTGATAGGAAGAACAATTTTCCATTTTTTTAAAGCCTTGAGACTACTCTGATGCTTGTTGGTGTTATTGTCAGACACCCCTGCCAAAAGCACCTCAGAAGGCAAAGTAAGAAGTACCACATCATAACCCCCATCCTCCATGAGAGTAAATCAGATAACATGTATGATACGGAGGAGTGGCAATGGAAATTAGATTGGTGTTTTACTTCAGATTCTAACTGTGTGTTTGGGCTCTTAATACAACTCTGGATTGTTTTAGCCTCCTTGGAGGTTTTATACATTTCATCTAATAGGATGCTAAATATATTGATTGGCGTCTCTTGCCCTCAGGTTTCATTTTCAAATTGAGCATACAAAAGCACTGCAGAGAAACAATCCCTTGTGAGGGATTTACAACCATGAAATTTGTCAAGCGTTCTTGACTAACTCTTGGGCACTAAAGTCAATATCCAAGGTGGCATTTAATTTTCAATAAATAATAAGCTTTAATAAAGGCATAATTTGGAACACTAACTCATGCTTTTGCTAGTTATACATCTTTCCTTACAAAATAGTTTAGTGGATCTTGTCGGGAGCCCCTCTGGAAATACATGCCCTTAAGTCCTGAGCAAGAGATACTGAATAATTATTGCACCCCTCAATAACTTGGGCTTTACCTCCACTCAGATAATGAGGCCTGACTTCAGGAGTAGGCGTCACCCAGTGGGTTTGAGTTACACTCACCTGTTCCTTTGTAATCCTACCCCTTGCCTCATTTGAATGGCTTCTCCCCAATAAAACTGGGTTCGAGGTGTGCTCTTTCTCTTTCTTGCCTGCCTTGCCTCCATTGTGGGAGCTGGGTCAGAACCCAAAGAAAAAGGTATTTCTCTGTCTCTGTGTGATTATTTCCTGCCAGCCCAGTTCACCTGGAGTGACCCCGCCTGGTTTAGTTGTGTGTCACGGCAGAATCTGATTAAAAGAAGTAGGAAAGCTTTGAGTCATTCATTTTACCTTTTCAAAGTTAGCCATAATGAGGAAAGGAGTCTCACAGATGCAGAAGACAGTAGGCCACTCCAGTAGGCAGTACATGTTCCAAATAGAAAGAGAATCAAGGATACAAGGGGGAAACACATACTCTGACTAGTTAAAACAATGGCATCTAATTCTGGTAACAATAATAAGTCCCATAATTCCTTAAACCATTTATACCTGTGGACAAAAGAAAACAAAATGAAAGCAAAACAATGAATAAACACTCCCAATAACTAATATTCCAGGATTTCATATTTGAGGTGTTTGACCATTCACTAGAGTCTTTAATGTTCCATGATTCTCAATTTATAAATTTATCCTGAAAAATAAATTGGAAGTCTCTGAATGAAAAAAGTCATTTATCTCCCAAGAAAATCTACCTATCAGAAACTATCTGAGTACTGACTCTCAACACAGCTTTACTGCGCTCTTGATTTCTCTATGAAGCAATGCATTCTTACTCATGTTTTCTTTTTTTTTTTAAGAAGCCAACAACTAGTTGGCTAAGTACCTCTTTTTTTTTAATATATATATATTTTTTTAGTTGGCGGACACAACATCTTTTGTTTGTACGTGGTGTTGAGGATCCGAACCCAGGCCACACGCATGCCAGGTGAGCGTGCTACCGCTTGAGCCACATCCCCAGCCCTAAGTACCGGTTCTTAAACAAAAAATATAAAATACAAATAAATTAAGAATGGACTATCAACTATAATTAAGAGTTATAAAATATAGTTTATTATAGTTTCTATAAGAACAGAAAATGATCAGAGGCACTATTTTATCAATATTCTATAATAGTTTGTCAGTCTGGGATACTCAAATATCAGACCATATGTATTCATTTGCAAACCTTAAAGTAATGTTTTATTTACTGTCTAAGTTAAAACTGATGAAGTTCAATAATTATTTTTGGAATGACTATACTACTGAAATAAATGTAAATATGTTGATTAAGCCTTTTTCCTAAAAGAAAAATCCCATCCAATGAAACAAGTCAACTGCCAAATTTGTATGAACATTTACACTGCATTATATATCAAACATTTTTTAAACATATATTTTTTTATAACTTTATTTATTTTAATATTTATTTTTTAGTTTTAGATGGACACAATATCTTTATTTTATTTCTATATGGTGCTGAGAATTTAACCCAGTGCTTCATGCATGCTAGGTGAGCTCTCTACCACTGAGCCACATCCCCAGCACCTCAAACATATTTTTATATAAAATAAAATTAAAATCATTATCACAGATAATAAAATAAAACTTACCCCAAAAGAAACTTAATAATAATTACGAAAGGATCAACTTTATATGGTTTGGCTTCTTTATCCAATATGGTAGCATATTCTAAGCAATAACCTGGTGATTTAAAAAAAATTACTTGCAACACAGAATTCACAGTAATTAAGTATGAAATATATTTTGCATTGTCAAGAGCAAGATGTTTTATGTCAGAAAAGCAAGGGACTTTGCTACCACCAGAGAAGAAACACTAAAAATTATTTTTAATTCAATGGTTCTTAGAAAATAGTAATTTGTGAAATAAATTTAGGAAGTCAAAGACACAGTTTCATCTCTTCACAATTCAATGATTCTTTTAGTATATTCAATGTTGTGCAAGTACTTCACTTCTTTTTTATTAATGAATAATACTCCACTGTATGGACATGATATTTTTATTAATATTCATTTAAATTATTTCTATGTTTTAGCTAATAGGAATAAATACTCTATGAACATTTGTGTACAAGTGTTTATTTATTTATTTTTTTTATTTTATTTATTTTTTTTAATTTTTTATTGTTGGCTGTTCAAAACATTACATAGTTCTTGATATATCCTATTTCACAATTTGATTCAAGTGGGTTATGAGCTCCCATTTTTACCCCATATACAGATTGCAGAATCACATCAGTTACACATCCATTGATTTACATATTGCCATACTAGTGTCTGTTGTATTCTGCTGCCTTTCCTATCCTCTACTATCCCCCCTCCCCTCCCCTCCCCTCCCGTCCCCTCTTCTCTCTCTGCTCCCTCTACTGACATTCGTTTGTCCCCCTTATATTATTTTTCCCCTTCCCCTCACTTCCTCTTGTATGTACTTTTGTATAACCCTGAGGGTCTCCTTCCATTTCCATGCATTTTCCCTTCTCTCTCCCTTTCCCTCCCACCTCTCATCCCTGTTTAATGTTAATCTTCTTCTCATGCTCTTCGACCCTACTCTGTTCTTAGTTACTCTCCTTATATCAAAGAAGACATTTGGCATTTGTTTTTTAGGGATTGGCCAGCTTCACTTAGCATAATCTGCTCTAATGCCATCCATTTCCCTGTAAATTCTATGATTTTGTCATTTTTTAATGCTCAATAACACAATTAATAACCTAGACTTAATTGACATATATAGAATATACCACCCAACATCAAGCAGTTACACTTTTTTCTCAGCAGCACATGGATCCTTCTCAAAAATAGATCATATATTATGTCACAGGGAAACTCTTAGACAATATAAAGGAGTAGAGATAATACCATGCATCCTATCTGATCATAATGGAATGGAACTGAAAATCAATGATAAAAGAAGGAAGGGAAAAGAATACATCACTTGGAGAATGAACAATAGGTTACTGAACGATCAATGGGTTATAGAAGACATCAAGGAAGAAATTAAAAAATTCTTAGAGATTAATGAAAACACAGACACAACATATCGGAATCTATGGGACACATTGAAAGCAGTTCTAAGAGGAAAATTCATTGCTTGGAGTTCATTCCTTAAAAAAAGAAAAAACCAACAAATAAATGATCTCATACTTCATCTCAAAATCCTAGAAAAAGAAGAGCAAAACAACAGCAAAAGAAGTAGAAGGCAAGAAATAATTAAAATCAGAGCTGAAATTAATGAAATCGAAACAAAAGAAACAATTGAAAAAATTGACAAAACTAAAAGTTGGTTCTTTGAAAAAATAAACAAAATCGACAGACCCTTAGCCATGCTAGCGAAGAGAAGAAGAGAGAGAACTCAAATTACTAACATACGGGATGAAAGAGGCAATATCACAACAGACACTTCAGAAATACAGAAGATAATAAAAAATTATTTTGAATCCTTATACTCCAATAAATTAGACGATAGTGAAGGCACAGATAAATTTCTTAAGTCATATGATCTGCCCAGATTGAGTCAGGAGGATATAGACAACCTAAACAGACCAATATCAATTGAGGAAATAGAAGAAACCATCAAAAGACTACCAACTAAGAAAAGCCCAGGACCGGATGGGTATACAGCAGAGTTTTACAAAACCTTTAAAGAGGAACTAATACCAATACTTTTCAAGCTACTTCGGGAAATAGAAAAAGAGGGAGAACTTCCAAATTCATTCTACGAGGCCAACATCACCCTGATACCTAAACCAGACAAAGACACTTCAAAGAAAGAAAACTACAGACCAATATCTCTAATGAACCTAGATGCAAAAATCCTCAATAAAATTCTGGCCACTCGGATACAAAAACTTATCAAAAAAATTGTGCACCATGATCAAGTAGGATTCATCCCTGGGATGCAAGGCTGGTTCAATATACGGAAATCAATAAATGTTATTCACCACATCAATAGACTTAAAAATAAGAATCATATGATCATCTCGATAGATGCGGAAAAAGCATTTGACAAAGTACAGCATCCCTTTATGTTCAAAACTCTAGAAAAACTAGGGATAACAGGAACATACCTCAATATTGTAAAAGCAATCTATGCTAAGCCTCAGGCTAGCATCATTCTGAATGGAGAAAAATTGAAGGCATTCCCTCTAAAATCTGGAACAAGACAGGGATGCCCTCTCTCACCACTTCTGTTCAACATAGTTCTCGAAACACTGGCCAGAGCAATTAGACAGACGAAAGAAATTAAAGGCATCAAAATAGGAAAAGAAGAACTTAAATTATCACTATTTGCAGATGACATGATTCTATACCTAGCAGACCCAAAAGGGTCTACAAAGAAACTATTAGAGCTAATAAATGAATTCAGCAAAGTGGCAGGATATAAAATCAACATGCATAAATCAAAGGCATTCCTGTATATCAGCGACAAAGCCTCTGAAATGGAAATGAGGACAACCACTCCATTCACAATATCTTCAAAAAAAATATAATACTTGGGAATCAACCTAACAAAAGAGGTGAAAGACTTATACAATGAAAACTACAGAACCCTAAAGAGAGAAATAGAAGAAGATCTTAGAAGATGGAAAAATATACCCTGTTCATGGATAGGCAGAACTAACATCATCAAAATGGCGATATTACCAAAAGTTCTCTATAGGTTTAATGCAATGCCAATCAAAATCCCAACGGCATTTCTTGTAGAAATAGAGAAAGCAATCATGAAATTCATATGGAAAAATAAAAGACCCAGAATAGCAAAAACAATGCTAAGCAGGAAGTGTGAATCAGGCGGTATAGCGATACCAGACTTCAAACTATACTACAGAGCAATAGTAACAAAAACAACATGGTACTGGTACCAAAACAGGTGGGTGGACCAATGGTACAGAATAGAGGACACAGAAACCAATCCACAAAACTACAACTACCTTATATTTGATAAAGGGGCTAAAAGCATGCAATGGAGGAAGGATAGCATCTTCAACAAATGGTGCTGGGAAAACTGGAAATCCATATGCAACAAAATGAAACTGAATCCCTTTCTCTCGCCATGCACAAAAGTTAACTCAAAATCGATCAAGGAGCTTGATATCAAATCAGAGACACGCCGTCTGATAGAAGAAAAAGTTGGCTACGATCTACATACTGTGGGGTCGGGCTCCAAATTCCTCAATAGGACACCCATAGCACAAAAGTTAATAACTAGAATCAACAAATGGGACTTACTCAAACTAAAAAGTTTTTTCTCAGCAAAAGAAACAATAAGAGAGGTAAATAGGGAGCCTACATCCTGGGAACAAATCTTTACTCCTCACACTTCAGATAGAGCCCTAATATCCAGAGTATACAAAGAACTCAAAAAATTAGACAATAAGAGAACAAACAACCCAATCAACAAATGGGCCAAGGACCTGAACAGACACTTCTCAGAGGAGGACATACAATCAATCAACAAGTACATGAAAAAATGCTCACCATCTCTAGCAGTCAGAGAAATGCAAATCAAAACCACCCTAAGATACCATCTCACTCCAGTTAGATTGGCAGCCATTATGAAGTCAAACAACAACAAGTGCTGGCGAGGATGTGGGGAAAAGGGTACACTTGTACATTGCTGGTGGGACTGCAAATTGGTGCAGCCAATTTGGAAAGCAGTATGGAGATTTCTTGGAAAGCTGGGAATGGAGCCACCATTTGACCCAGCTATTCCCCTTCTCGGTCTATTCCCTAAAGACCTAAAAAGAGCATGCTACAGGGACACTGCTACATCGATGTTCATAGCAGCACAATTCACAATAGCTAGACTGTGGAACCAACCTAGACGCCCTTCAATGGATGAATGGATAAAAAAAATGTGGCATTTATACACAATGGAGTATTACTGTACAAGTGTTTATATGAATGTATGCTTTCATTTCTCTCAGGTCTATTCTAGGAATGGAGATGCTAAGTCATATAAATAACTCTGTTAACCATTTGAGGAATTGTCAGATTGTTTTCCAAAGAAGCTATTCCATTTTATATTCCTCCCAGAAGTATATGAGGGTTCCAATTTCCTCCATAACCTTGTTAACATTTGGTATTATCTTTCTTACTATAGTCGTTCTAGCTAGTGATTTTCTTTTTTCTTTCTTTCTTTTTTTTTTTTTTTTTGTGCTGTGGATTAAACCCAGTTTCATGCATGCTAGGCAAATGCCCTATCATTGAGCTATACTCCCAGTCCAGGAGGTAAATTTGGATATGCACTCTTGGTATAGAACTACCACTTTAATTGGTTTAAAACATATTCCCATACTTAAATATTCTAAAGTAAAAAAAGTATATATCTCTGGAGTTTCTGGGCAATCTATTTGTGAATTTCGTATGTTTAGGAATCAAGTATCTAGTCTGCTGAAATTAAGAAGTATGAGGCCTCCCCTTCAGACTTTCAAAACCTTATGGGCAGGCTGGATATGTAACTCAATGCTAGCCTAACAAGTGTGAGGCCCTGGGTTTGATCCCCTACATTAGGTGTAGGGGGACCAAAACCAAATAGGTCAGATTTTTTTTTTTTTTTTGTAGTTGTAGATGGACACAGTGCCTTTATTTTACTTGTTTATTTTTATGTGGTACTGAGGATCGAACCCAGTGCCTCACACATGCTAAGCAAGCACTCTGCCACTGAGCTACAGCCCCAGCCCCCAAACAGGACAGATTTTACATTCAAGTCTGGTTGATGTCATATCACTAGAATAATATCCCCCACACTCTCCTTTTCCCTTCTGATACTGAGGATCAAACCCAGAAGTGATCTACCACTAACCTGCAGCCCCAGCCCTTTTTGAGATAAGGCTTTGCTATTTCTGAAGCTGGTCTCAAACTTGTGATCCTTCTGCCTCATTCCCCACCCTTATTACTGGGATTACAGGTATTCCTGGAATATAGTTTAACTCAGGTATAAATGAGCATGGAATGCAAACCCGAAGTTATATGAAAATAACGAAAGGCATTAAGTAGCTGTAGGATTTGGGGAGATGGATATGGTGGAGGTGATTTATGGACTACTTTTACATATTTTTACATATTTTGGTTCCATTATTTTCTCCTGCTTCTATTACTGTCCAAGCCCAAGAAAACAAAGATTAGGCTCTCAGGAAACTGTTCTAATTATTATATTCTGAGGATGGTTTTATCCATTTATCCTACATCTGCCTCTCCAGATCCATTCACTTTGCTGTTGACTCTGGGAGGCTTACTTTCATGCACAGGCTTCTAGATAGTTAAATTTAGTGAATGAAAGGTTCTAGTAGATAAGAGAGCAGGAAAAAATGGTGTTAGAGAATGTATTTCCCTACCTTTCCCCCTACTGAGACACAGGCTGGCAGTATTGCTTGTTTCTATACCCAAGGTTGCAGCTCTAGTAACACTGCTCACTCCTACAGGTCTCTTAGGTTTCCTCCATCTCTAGCTTGTACTTTATCATCTCTTGTTGGTTTCCCTTAACTCTGCACAAATCTTTGAAATAGTTCCTTCATTAAAATTTCAATAATTCCATTCAGTGTGCCAGGACCTAAATGACATTGCTGATATGGCTAGCTTACTAAATGTGTACTGTATGTTTGATACAATGTTAGGCTCTAGAAATAAAATGGAGAACAATGTGCCTTTGATGAGGCTCTACATCTTAAGAGGTCCTCAAGAAGGAAGAAGCTTCAGGCATAAAGGTATAAAGTGCATAAACAAATAAGGAATTTTCTTGGGGATGTATTAAAACTTAGAGGATTCCTAAACTTAAGAACCTGGGAGATATAGGTCTTGAATTTTCTGTCTTCTTTAGCCACATGTAGGATGAAAAGTAGCTCTGATGCACTGGCCCACAGAAATAAAGACGGAAGGAAGCAAAGAAGGAAGCGAGGAAAAATAAGAAAGGAGGAAGGGAAAATGAGGAAGAATGAAAGAAGAGAGGAGAGGAAGGGGAAGGGAACAAACTAGGGTGACACAGGAGGAGATTAAGGGGCAGATGCCTACTAACAAAAGTATACAACACTGAACAAAGGTGCCAAAAGCATATGTTGGAGAAAAGACAGAATGGTACAGGCAAAACTGGATATCCATATGTAGAAGAATGAAGCTAGATTCCTATTTTTCAACTTGCAAAAAGTCAACTCAAAATGGAAAAAAATCTAGGAATTAGATTAAAAAAAAACTCTGCAACTTCTAGAAAAAAATATAGCATCAATGCTCTAACATAGGGACAGGCAACAACAGGACTTCCAAAGCACAGGAAATAATTACAAGAATAAATGGGATTTCATCAAATTAAAAAGCTTGTGCATAGTAAAGGAAACAAGAGCATAATGAGAGTCTCCAAAATGGGGGAAATTCTTTGCCAGCCACTCTTCAACTGAGATTAATATTGGGGATATATAAAGAACTCAAAAAACTTACCACCAAAAAAAAAAAAAAAACAACCCAATGAACGGCACATGAACAGACACTTGTCAAAAGGACTACAAAGGGCCACTAAATATATAAAAAAGTGTTCAACATCTTTAGCAATCAGGAAATGCAAATCAACTATACTGAGCCAGGCACAGTGGTGCACGTCTGTAATCCCAGCAGCTTGAGAGACTCAGGCAGGAGGATCACAAGTTCAAAAGCCAGACTCAGCAACTTAGCAAGGCCCTAAGCAACTAAGTGAGACTGTGTCTTTAAATAAAATACAAAAAAAGGGTTGGAGATGTGACTCAGTGCCTGAGTTTAGTCCTTGATACCAAACAAACAAGCAAGAAAAAAATTACACTGAGATTTCATCTCACTCCAAGTGGAATGGCAATAATCAATAAAACAAATAGTAATAAATGCCAGTGAGGGTGTTGGGAAAAAGGAACACTTACATACTGTTGGTGGGATTGTAAACTAGCCACTATGGAAATCAATATGGAGGTTTCTCAAAAGATTAGGAATGGAACTACCATATGACTCAGCTACATCACTCTTCAGTATTTATCCAAAAGAATTAAAATCAGAATATTATAGTGATACATACATTTTAAAGCCATGCAATTCACAATAGTTAAGTTATGGAATCAGCTTAGGTGTCATCAACAAATGAATAGATAAAGAAATGTGGTACATATATACAGTACAGTTTTATTCAGCCATAGAGAAAAATAAGATTAATAAGATTATGTCATTTGCAGGAAAATTTATGGCACTTGAGAGCATTATGTTAAGCAAAATAAACCAGACTCAAAAAGTGGAGGGTCATTTGTTGTCTCTAACACATAGAAGATAGGGGAAAAAAAAAAGGAAAAAATGGGAGGTGGTTTATGAAAATAAAAGGAAGACCAAAAGATTAGAGGAAGGAGATGAGGGGAGGCAGAAGGGAAGGAAGAAGGGAGGTATTGGGGAATAAAGTTGACCAAATTATGTTAAGTTCACATACAAATATATCAAGATGAATCCTATTACATTTAATTACAGTGAACCAATAAAAAATTAATTATAAAAAAGTACATAAAACTGAAATATTCCTGTAGCAGGAACAGCAACAAGTAGAGGCATGGGAATAGAATTTAAATATTATCAAGCCTACAGCTCTAATTACCTATTTATTTATTTAGTACTTCAGATTTAATTCAGGGGTGCTCTACTACTGCACTACAACCCCAGCCTTTTTATTTTGAGACAGGGTCTCACTAAATTGCTGATGCTAGTCTTGAACTTGTGATCCTCCTACCTCAACCTCCAGAGTCACTGGGATTACATGAGGTGCCACCATGCCCAACTTAATTATCAATTTATAAAAAATAGAGCAGTTAGAAAAAATGTTCAACTACACCTAGGGGTGTAATGAGCAAAATTCAAACTGTGAGAGACATAAACACACAAAAGCGGTTGTGTTTAATAAATTATGAGGCAAAAATAAAAAAACATGGAGGACAGAACTTTTAGCTTAAGAAACTTAATGATCAAATTTAGTGACAAATGGTAATTATTTGGAAACTGTTCAGATTTTTTTAAACAAATAATTTCATAATATTAGAGCATTAAGAATTTTACATGTATTATGATTATTTTGTTCCTTTTTAATACATAAATACTGAAAACTATTACATTCAGATTATTCTTCAAATTCACATATTTTAAAAAACAGTTAAATGTTCAGACTCAAGTTTATTTTTTTCATTAACAAATGATACTGTTACACAGATCAAATTAAAAAAAAAAAAAAAAAAGAAGGCAGACCAGTAGAATAGAAGAAGAGGATCAGGGGAGAGAGGGGATGGAAAGGGAAGGTATTGGGGAATGAAATTGATCAAATTCTACTATTTTATTGTGTGCATGTATGAACATATTATAACAAATCCCACTGTTATGTATAATTATAATGCACCAATAAAAAGGAAAAAAATTATACTAATAACAAAGTGATAGGCTAAGAGAATATAGTAAACTGCAGGTCTCAGGACTAGAAACTGGAGGTTTCTAGACTAGTTGCCCCAAACTAGTTTGGGATTGGTGGTCAGTAGAAGAAAAGTAAAACAATAAAATGAAATCATACACTATTCTAGAGTTTCCAAGAACAGTAGTGTCTACTAGTATTTGGCTATTTCTAAGAACTTCCTTATTATGTTTCCTAAGTCAACATAATTGAATTAACTAACAATTGTTCCACTAATACTTATTCATAACAAAAACAACTTTAAAAATTATAAACATTTTTACCTGTTGAGAAAAGAGAGTATAACTGTCCTCCATAAGCAAGAAGGATACTAGATATAACATAAGCAGGAAGAGCTCCACCATGAAATCTAACTACCTAGAAAACAGATAAATCAATGGGCAATTTCTAAATATTCATGTTAATGAAATAAATGTACTTTAACACAAAATAAAAAAATTTTAAACACACACAAAAATTTATTGTTTATACTTCTCCTGACACAGCTACAAAGGTATTTCGAGTAACAAGTATCAAAAACTCTAAGTAAAATAAATGCTAATAACATATAGCATAGTATAAACATCTGATTTTTTTCAAAGGCATAATTGAATAGCGTATGCTAAAATTTTTCCTTCAAAGCATGTTTATCGAGTATTTAATATGTTCCGGCAAGACACTAAATACCTTATATACATTATCTCATATCTTCCTCCCCAAAACCCTTTCAAGTAGTTCTTTTCCCTATTTTATAGGTGAAGAAATCTAGGAATGAGGAGCCCAAGTACTTCCCACAATTGCAAATGTCATGGGCAAGTTACTTCCCCCTTCTTCTCTATGTGCTTATCAGTAAAATAGGAAAAAATAATAGTACTTATAGGTGGTTATGAAGATTAAACATGCTCATTTTGTAAAGCATTCAAAATATTAACTTACACAGTAACTATAAGATAATATTAGTTATAATTATGAACTCTTAATGCCCTTCAGTATCTTGGAAATTCAGTAAAACTGTAATTTAGACTCAGAGCCTAAGTTCATAACCATTATGTGACAGTGCCTCAAGTCAGTTGATCTAACCTGCAGAAAACATATCCATAATAAAAACAAAATATTGTTCTTTTTCAATATTAAATTTTTAAAGAAAAATCAGCATGGACTTAATCCATAGAATCTTTTTAGAATACATATCAACTCCCTTGGTAATTTGATGAACTAAATCTATGAAAATACAATATTACCTAAAATGTTGCATAAAATTTCAGGAAATTCAGAGTTTCCCTCCCTTAAGTTTCTCCATGGACTTCCAGGTTGAAAGAGATTAGAAAAATTTTTAAAAAACTTATATCTCACACTCACGATTTATAGTTTATAAGCTTCAAGTGGCAGGAAAGGAAAGTTGAAAAAAAGGGAAAAGGCCATTTTTCTACCTATTACTAAATGAAACTCACTGCCTGCTAATGGTACACTAGGAAATACATAGCATAATTAAGTTACCAAGATTAATGTTAAACAGCCTAGCAGACTTATGAGTCAGATCTCTGGATTTAGTCTCCAGCTTTGCTCTATTTTTGTATTATTGAGCAAGTTACTTTGCCTTCTCTCTCCAGGGCTTCATCAGTAAAATGAGATAAACAGCGTTTATCTCATAGAGGTGTAAGGTTTCAAAGTGTTTGCATCTGTTTAAAACACCTGGAATAGTAGTTGGCATATGGTTGAGAGACTGAAAATATTAGTTATTATTATTAATCATTAACATGTCTTTAGAATTCTGGAACAGATCTTGCACAGAGTATTATATGTTCATATTTATATATTAAACATAAAATTTCTCTTACTGACAAAGGGACATTGTTATAAGTATTAAGTATTTATTCTCTTGGGCTTTGGATATAGCTGTGTATATACGGTATGACTAAATCGACAACCATAAACTGGCCTCCATGGGCTATAATCAAACTGTAAGACTTGCTTAATTTGGCTTACTATTTAGCACAATATTTCTTTAAACTTTGAATTAGATAACAACACTGAAAAAAATTTAAAGATTTCACCTAAAAAAATTCCAAATTTCAGTTTCTCTTAACATCTAAATATTGAAATGATTTACTAGAATTTATGAAATTTACTCAGGAAAGTAACTTTCAATTTACTTTTTTGTCCTCTTTTTTCCTAAAACTAGATTAAAGAACATGAACACATTTTCCTCTTTTTCTAGAAAGAAACAATTTTGTGAAAAATTATTTAAAGGCTAAATATTCTCTTAAGTGGTTTCTCTTTACTCCTTTTGCTCAATTTCCTGTGACTATATCAGCAACATTATTTTTAAATAATATGCATTGTTTTAAAAAAATGAGTAAGACATATTAGACAATTTAAATTTGTTCTTTTACCACCCACAAACTGAAATCTTAAACAAGCAATAAAGAAGAACAGGCTATATTTTTCAATAATTTTAGGATTCAATTGCCATTCTTTGACACTTTAACAAGAACCCTCCTCTGATCTTGTAACACCAGTGCTTCCTTGCTCTTTAGAAAGATTTCCACATCTAAACAAAAATATTAGTCTGTCTTTTTTTTTGGTATACAATTATGCTTAGTTGCAGCATACCAAGCTAACTTGACTTTTCATGTCACTAATTTGGATTATGGGCCACAGAGATGATAAGGATAAGAGAGCATGTAGTATCTTCACCATAAACCACTGTGTACAATAACATGACTTTTGAACATGCTAAAAAAAATAATAGCATGAACTCATCTCCTCTATCACAAGCAAAATTTTTATTTTTTAAAAAAAATATTTATTTTTTAGTTGTATATGGACACAATACCTTTATTTTACTTACTTATTTTTATATGGTGCTGAGGATTGAACCCAGGGCCTCACATGTGCTAGGCAAGCCCTCTACCACTGAACCACAATCTCAGCCCTGCAAAATTTGTCTTAATGCCTTTTAACTTTTTAGAATATCAACTACCCATCATGCTATTTTCCAACTTATACTAACATTTGATGTTCCCTTTATAATTTAGCACACAATTTTTTTATATAATTACTCAGAATTTTATTATGTTCACAAATTTAATAATAATCATAATATAGCTCTAAGTGATTATAAGGAACAAATGAGATAATGCACATAAAATGTTTCTAATTTAATTTTGATTTGTGAGTTTTACAATTGCAGTATTATAACTTAAAGTAAAAAAAGGAAAAATTCTACTATGCTTGGATAGCAAAATATAACCAATCAAAAAATAAAAGCTAAATAAAATTTTACTGAATTTTGAAATTATATAATTTTCCTGTCTAATCAATATTAGTGTATTTATTTCCAGGTTACATAATCCTGAAAATTATAATGATATTCAATAATAATATCTATAGTTCTAATGCTGAATTATTTTTGTAACATGATTTGCAAATTAATTTTAACATTTATCTTGAATAAAATTTATTTTTAGCCTTTACATTATAACTGAGCATTCACAATATAAAAAGTTCTTTGAAAATGTTCACTTACATGACAAACCCTATTTTACTGTGTCATGAATTATAGTGTAGTATGATAAATATAAGGTCTTAATATGACATTCATTTAGGCAAATATATTGAGAATCAGGTAACAGCTCTTATTTTTAGGATGGATCAAATATGAAAGGATCACCTTAAAGTAAGAGTTGGCCAACCATGGCCTATAGGTCAAGAATGGTTTTTAGATTTTATTAAATTGGAAGAATGAAGAATGAAGAAAAAAGGAGAAAGAAGAAACAAGTAGCTATAGCAGTGGGAGCAGCCAGAAATCGTGATTTGTTAAATTACTGATTTTATAGAAAAAGACTATAATCCTTTCTTTATGATATCTATTCACAAGACAATAAATAATCATGCAATGAAAATCTCTCTTACCTGTCCAAGTATTTGTGAAAAGGATGTCTTAACTGTCACCTAGTTTAAAACAATCATTTAAAAAGAGGTTATTTACCCTAGATTTTTCTAGTTCAATTTTATTAAACTATGTACTTCTACACATCTCTAGGTATAATAATTCCTATAATAATAAACCTAAAGGCATAAGACATCTTCAAGAATCTTCTGCACCACGTTTAAATTAGACAAAATGTAGTTTCATCATTGAGTATATTTTCCAGTATTCTAATTCTTCAACAATTACAGCAATGCTATGGTATATAGGGTAACTGTTTACAACTGGATTATTTAATTAACTAGAATGTTATTAATAGATCATGCTAGTTAAAAGAATTTAAGCCAAAATAATATTTGAAAATTAAATTCATTCTTAATAATCCTACCATAAGTAAAAAAAAATCATCCTTAATAATTCTACCTTTTTAAAGAAAAAAATAATCCTTTATAAAGAAAAATTAAGAAGTCTGCGAAAGGAAATAAATCTTTGTTAGGGAAATTATGAATGTTTTGTCTGCATCTGACCTTTGTGGAAATACGCAATTTGGTTAAAAACATGGAGCATGCAGTATTTGGATCCAAACTGACAACACAACTCTTACTATCACTTCAGTATTAGAAACATAAACATGCAAGTTTAAAAATATAGCAAAGACCCTTTATTGTTAACAAAGTAAGGTATCAAAGCATTCATAAATTCTATGAAATATAAAATAATTCATAATACAGGTCCAAATAAAACTTGGTTGTAAGAACAGATTCTATTAATTTGACAATGCGTATTCTAGCTCACCCTAAGAAAGTTCTAATAAACAATTCAACAACTTAAAGCTTGAAGCTGAGCAGAATTAAGCTATGGACCAGAAACCTGTGATGTCACTACCATTAAAATGTGTATTTTAACCACTTAAATGTGAAATCCTTGGAACCTCGTATGTTCTGACATAGAGAAGGACTCTTAGTTCATGAATCCATAAATAAATAAAATATTCTTTGTTCCTTCTTTTAGGAGACAGTGATCTTTGGTAATAAAACAAACACAATAGGTACTAAATTGCACATACTAATGACTTAACAGAGCTTAAATAAATTAAAAGAAGATCCTTAAGCTATTCTGGTAGAAATAAAAACCAATAAATATCACATAAATTACTGTACTAAAGTCATGTCAGCTTCCAATTTTAGTTGATTATTCAATTTACAAGAGTTTGGATTTGGGGCTTTCAAATTTAAAAGGTTAATCTGCAGTTTCAATTTTTGTTTTATTTCTATTACTTATTAAGATGCATACATTTTCAAATGATCCAGATAAGAAAATACTTAAGTATTACAAACAGGAAAAATATTAAAATATTTCAAATGTCTATATCTTATTTTTATTCATTTCCACCCTACCATGTATCTGCAATTTCTACCTTATTCTATAACTAAATCTTAAAAGATTATAAATATATGCAACTTACCTCATACTGACAATCTGATGATGTGTACATTTTTAACAATGCAACATGGCTGTCATTTTCTGGTTGAGCAATATGAAGTTTCAGAGAAATTTCTGTGTTAGATGGAACCCTGAAGAGATAACTTACATATCAATACTCAAGTACAACATGCTGGTAAAAACTGACTTAGCCATGGCTAAGTCTATCCTCCCCACAATACAATGAAATAATGTAGAGGAAGCCAGATGACAGACATACTATTACAGATGAACACTTTTTCAGTTACATTAGAATTGTTTGAACACTCCCTCTCTAGGACTCAGGAGTTGGAGGAGTGTGGAAAGGTAGGTGTTAATGTTTTAAGCAAGTGAGGTTTAAGTTCTATGTCATTCAATAAAACAATTTATTAAATTAGATATATAAATAGATACAATTGATATAACTAAATTGTGGGCATGATGCTACATAAAGGCTATAAATATTTTACATTTTCCTTTCATAATTCATATAATTAAAAAAACTAAAAAACTACACAGAGTATCTATTTTATTCAAAAACACCAAAGTTTAAAGTAAATTCTACATACTGTGCAATGGTTAGTGAATCTTCATAAGACCAGGGAATATGAAGTTTATAGATACTAGTTATTTCTTCTGTTAAAACACAAAGGAAAGACGTATTATTCACCATGTTACCTTTACTTTTACATAAGCTACTTAATACCAAACTAATTACACAACTGTCCATTTTAAAACAAAAAAAAAAATCAGTAATGGTTATACAGCATAAGAAATTATGAATTCTTAAATGCTTTCTTTAGGCTTACAAAAAGTATTAAAAGTATATAGATAATACTAAGAAACTGGAAAATATTAAACAGCCAAATCTGAATTACTACTATAATAAGACATAAAGACATACTGAAACATGAAGATAATTTTAAGAAAGGGTCTATGCTAAACCCTTGGGAAATATAAATATCTTTTTTATTACTTTTTTATGTCATATAAAAATATATGAAAAAACAGATGTGAAAAAATATGACAGAAGATTCAAGTGAAGACTTATTGATTCTTCAATTGACAATACTATTTTCTACATATTTTTCAGAAAATACATTTACCTCTGACTCCTGAGCACTTGCTTACCACGTTGATTTTAAAAGCTTGGTATATCTAATAGAGTTTGACCACAAAAACAAAAAGCAAAAGTTTATTTGTTTGTTTAACTAAACGGTAAAGTAAAATCAACTCCTTGTTGTTGTAGTCAGGATAATTACCTGTCCAAAGTTCAGAAGCTCTATATTATAGTATAGGCCACTTGTATTTAATACTACTTTCCTTGAAGATAGTCCTGTTGAATTAAAAGTAGTGTTAGAGTACTAAAGAAATTTTGAAAATATACTGACTGCTTAAATAATAATAAAAAAATGAAAACAATTTATATAACAGTTTCTCACTTCTGGTATGGAGGATTCAACTCCTAAAGAATCCAAACCTCCCACAATAAACACTGGACAAAACACAGTATTTATAATAACTTTTAATTATATCAATGTGCTTTTTTAGTCAAGTACTTGTTTCTAATTTCAGAAAGGTAAGCTTTCTTTGCAGATGTTTTATTTTATAAGCTTGGTATCTTTAAAAACATAGGTAATTTAGAGTTGTCATTTCTGTATTTTTCTGAGAATTTTTTCCTCCCACCGCAAAAAAAAAAAAGAACATGTAGAGAAAGACGAATAAAAACCTTATGGTAAGTTTCCTATCTTAAGTAACAGATTTTTTAATCTAAAAAAAGTTCCTAATATGCAAAACTGAACTTGAATAGAACAATATACAATGATATTGTACTATAAACAGACCAATGAATAAGATAGATTCATGAGGTTATACTGTCATAAATAAAAAACCGAACAAGTACGTGGGAGAGAAGGGACGACTCTATTCCTCAAGAAGAATTTAATAAATTCTGTATTTCTTTCTTTTTTTTTAAAGAGAGAGAGAGAGAGAATTGTTTTTTAATATTTATTTTTTAGTTCTCGGCGGACACAACATCTTCGTTTGTATGTGGTGCTGAGGGTCGAACCCGGGCCGCACGCATGCCAGGTGAGCACGCTACTGCTTGAGCCACATCCCCAGCCCCTAAATTCTGTATTTCTGTAGACTATCAGTAATATTTACTAAAGTCTAGCTAAACCAATGGATGCTAAATTGATGAGTTATTTTGAAGGAAACAGGATAATTACACATTCTCTAAGCACTTCCCCAAAATATTTATTAATTACAACATAAAAAGCCATAACTTCAAGTAGAGAAATGTGGCAGGCACCACCTTAACCAAGAAATCAAGGTTAATATCACTAGTAATTATATATATTAATGTCACATATCCTGATGTGATGCACTGAGAAATACACATCACATCTGTGGAATTCTTGGCAAACAATGCATAACCTCAATCTAATAATAAGAAAGCATTAAGACAAATCCAAACTGAAGTATATTCTACAAAATAATTGACTAGTATTCTTCAAAGGTTTTTAAAGTTAAGTAAGACAAGGAAAGACAAAGAAACTGTCACATATTATTATGGGAGACTAAGGAGACATGACAGCAGAATGCAACATGAGAAAAGGGAAAGGGAAGACATCAATAGTAAAACTGAGTAAAGAACAAATAAAGCCTGCACTTTAGTTTATATTATTGCACAAATGCTGATTTCTTAGTTTTAAAAACTGTGCTATTTTTACAAAAGAGGTCAAGATTAGGGAAAGGTGGGTGAAGAATGTAAAGGACCTCTGTACTCTTTTCTAACTTTTCTATACATCTAAAATTATTTCAACAAAAAGCTTAAAAGAACAGAGAATTCTTGAAACCTTCATAAGATATACAGCAATTTTTACCCTTTAATAAAAATGTTATAAAAAGGCCGGGGGGGCTGGTGTTGTGGCTCAAGTACTTGCCTAGCATGTATAAGGCACTGGGTTCGATCCTCAGCACCATATAAAAAAAATAAATAAATAAAACAAAGGTATTGTGTCCATATACAACTAAATATGTGTGTGTGAGTGTATGTGTATATACATAGGTAAATATTTGTGTATATTTATATAGGTATGTGTATATTTATATAGGTAAATATATGTGTGTGTGTATATGTATATATATAGGTATGTGTGTATATATAAAGGTATTATGTACATATACAACTAAATATATATATATATTTAAAAGGCCAGTATTCAGTATAAATTTCACATAAGGAAACATACACACACACCCCTACAAGTATATATGATTATGAGAATTTGTCTTTTAAAATTGACTCTTATCATAAGATGACTGTGGGTCCAGTATTAAATGAGAATCAAACCACGGAACCACATCATATGGTTATCTCAAGAAATATACTAGAAATATTATATTTAATGTTAGTAGGCTCTGCTTTATTGCAACGAAATGGCAAACTAAATCAGCACTCTGTTAAAAATTAAAGCAATTCTTGGGCTGGAGTTATGGCTCAGTGTTACAGTGCTTGCCTGGTGCACTTGGGGCACTGGGTTTGATCCTCAGAACCACATAAAAATAAAATAAAGGTATTATGTCCACTTACAACTAAAAATATATATAGTAAAAAAAATTAAAGCCATTCTTCTAAGTTCCAAAAACAAAGTACTTACCAAAGGAAAAAAGATGAGTTACAGGAAGCTGTATGGATCTTGTCTCTTTTTTAAAGAATTCACAATCTACAACAAACTGAAATATAAATAATTGATTTATCAGTAAAGTAGAATTAAATTTATAGTGAAATGCTTTGATGTTTGAGTGGGAAATAGAAGACTATAATAATCTCAGCTTTGGAGAAAGTATCAGTGATCAAATATAATAATCTCTACTTAGGTGTCAAGAATTCCTCAAGGAGAGATGCCATACTGTGAAAACTTGATAAACAAGCCTAACTTGATTAAATAAGTTAATGAAAATTATTAGTGGATCATTTCTATAACAATAGATTCATAGCAAAGTTTTCTTATAATTTGTATTATAAGTATTTGCAGAAGGTCATTAAAGGATGAAACAAAGATTCATAATTCAATATTAAGGATTCAAATACATGCCTGAATATGTTGAAAATGAAATTTTGTTACATATTTTTTTAAAAAAATCCTGCCTTTATCATGTGTTTTTTGTCTAATTAGACTATACAAGGCTTTTGGAGACTTACTGCCATTCATGGATTATTTAGATTATGGTAGACAGAAAAAGGCTTACTATGGCTTACGAAAAAGAAACGTTTTTCAAAAAAGAAAACTTAAAAGTTTAACATCTGCACCATTATCATTTTTGTAAGAACAACATTTCTTTTTTATAACATTTCTAACATGGAGTTAAGAAATTTTGTTCTCGGTTATCTGTAGGAGGAAATGTTTCTGGTAAAAGCTCAAGTTCAGCCAGGCATGGAGGTGCAGGCCTGTGATCCTAGAACTGGGGAGGCTGTGGCGGATCAACTCAGGTCAGGAGATCGTGACCAGACTGGTTAATGACACTCCAGCTCAAAAAAATAAAATCAAACAATGCAAGATCATTAAAATAATCCTCACAATTCAATCAAATTATTTTGATCATAGGAACTGAAGAAAAAATTAACACCTGTGGGATCTAACACCTGTGGGATCAGACAACTAAACCTTGGATGGTTGAAGCAATGTCTTTTGTTTGCCTCTTCAGTAGATTTGGTCGTTCCTGAAAGTGAAAAGCAGATGAGGGAAACTGCTATTAAACTATAGAACATATGTGGGGGAAAAAAGGGAAAGCTTGTTAAGGACCTTTGTTTTTAATTTCTCATAAGGCAAAGAACAACGACATTTTCACTACAGAAAACGGTTGTTAAAAGACTACAGAAGTCATTTATTGAACAGGATTATATTCATTATGTTTTTTCAAAGTGCTGTTGGTGAGTCATTACCCGAGACAAGGAAATAGTTTTTATATGCAATTTCTTTGTTTTTAAATGTTTTTTAGTTGTTGATAGACATTTATTTATTCATTCATTTATATTCGGTGCTGAGAATCGAACCCAGTACCTCACACATGCTAGGCAAGTGCACTACTGCTGAGCCACAGCTCCAGCCCCCTTTATATGCAATTTCAATCACTTTGACAGACCTTAAAAGAGCGTGCTATAGGGATACTGCTACATCTATGTTCATAGCAGCACAATTCACAATAGCTAAACTGTGGAACCAACCTAGATGCCCTTCAATAGATGATGGATAAAAAAAAATGTGGCATTTATACACAATGGAGTATTACTCTGCACTAAAAAAATGACAAAATCATGGAATTTGCAGGGAAATGGATGGCATTAGAGCAGATTATGCTAAGTGAAGCTAGCCAATCCCTAAAAAACAAATGCCAAATGTCTTCTTGGATATAAGGAGAGCAACTAAGAACAGAGCAGGGAGGAAGAGCATGAGAAGAAGATTAACATTAAACAGGGACGAGAGGTGGGAGGGAAAGGGAGAGAGAAGGGAAATTGCATGGAAATGGAAGGAGACCCAAAATTACATATAAGAGGAAGTGAGGGGAAAGGGAAAAAAAACAAGGGGGAGAAATTAATTACAGTAGATGGGGTAGAGAGAGAAGATGGGAGGGGAGGGGAAGGGAGGGAGGATAGTAGAGGATAGGAAAGGCAACAGAACACAACAGACACTAATATGGCAATATGTAAAAAAGTGGATGTGTAACTGATGTGATTCTGCAATATGTATACGGGGTAAAAATGGGAGTTCATAACCCACTTGAATCAAATGTATGAAATATGATATGTCAAGAGCTATGTAATGTTTTGAACAACTAATAATAAAAATTTACAAAAAACCATAAGTTTTATTACTGCTTTAAAATTTTTTGCTGTACCTTTAGTGTTGCCTAATGGAATAAATCCTTATCCAAGAAAGAGAATTAAAAGGTCTCTAAACATCTCTCTAATAGGATTAATTATTTTGTTTTCTGTCATTAAAAATGCAGATAATTGCATATTTGTATTTTCAAAAAACATAAAGAAATGCATCAACTTAAAACTTTTTCACCCTGCTCATTTGAACATGTGTCATCTTCTGAAGATAATGCTTATAGATATGTAAACATTATGAAAGAGATAAGTTATCATCTTAGTGAGACAAGGTAGTGCAACAATAGATTTAGCAGTGTCACTTTCCAAAGAGCACTAAGACATATTACAAATTTATTAGGCTGCAAAGACTGTACATTTTCAGAAAGACTAATAAATTTCTTGTCATAATCAGGGAGGACCTTTCAAAGTTTGGGAAAGATGCTAGATTCATTCAAAACCAACTTACCTGGTAGAAAACCCCCTAAAGAGAGCTTTTAGTATTGAAGATGTTAAATTACCTCTCATTTGAGCTAAGCAAAACAAAACAATGAATCCATTATAAGGTACTTGTGAGACTCAGTCTTTGAAATGACTCCCAACTATATCCCCCTTTTCATTTCCCTATTTCTTTTAAATTTCCTTATTATTTTATCTATAATCTCATTAATTTTCTCATTCAAGAAATATTTTTTAGGGACCTCTATGAGGTAGTCATTAAAAGTTGAGAATACAAAGTAGAATGAAGCTTATCTGGTTGTTACTCTCAAAGTTTACAATATGGTAATGGCAATAAGGACATGAAAATTATAATTTAATGTTATAAATTATTCAAAGCAGTTATAAACAGAGTATGAGGGAAGTAAGTAAAACATTATTGGAGGAGTCTGGAAAAGGAAGAGGGAACCCTTAGGTTGGATCTTGAAGGATAAGTCTGCTGGGTTACATGGGCAAAGAGGAGAGCAGGGAGCTCTCTTACCTTCTTTCCTCCCCACTAATTGTCTCAAAATCAACATCCTTTTATTTACACTCACTTCCCTAGTACAGCTCATATAACTTCTTTCTTTTTTTAATATTTTATTTTCTAGTTGTAGTTAGACACAATACCTTTATTTTATTTATTTTATTTTTATGTGGTACTGAGGATCAAATCCAGCGCCTCGCACATGCTAGGCGAGCGCATTACCGCTGAGCCACAATCCCAGACCAACTTCTTTCATTTTCAAAAAGTATTTTTTTAGTTGTAGATGGACACAATAACTTTTGTATGTTTGTTTTTCTGTTTGTTTAGTGGTGCTGAGGATTAAACCCAGTGCCTTACATGTGCCAGGCAAGCACTCTACCACAGAGCCACACAACCCCAGCCTCAAATAACTTCTTATGATGTGCCTAGTCTTCTTATTTATGATCCATCCTCTGCCATAAATAGATTAATCTTCCAAAATGAATTATCTCTGATAACATTACTACTGTGGTAAAAAGGCTTAGAGCTTCCTACTGACTTCTGAATTCCAAAGTCCTGAATTCCAAACAAAGCCTCTACAATACCACCAAGAACTACTTTTCCAGACTTTTCTCCCATTGTTACTCTACCCCTGGTGGCCATCCTTTTAAAATTATATACTCATTCACTGTATCCCAAATACATACCATGCTTTCACATTTCTGTGCTTTTTGTTTTCACTATTCCTATGCCATTATAATTTTTCACAATGATGAGTTTCTAGAATATGGCTAGTACAACTAAGGAACCAAATTTTAAATTGTATTTAATTTTAATTAGTTTATGTTTAAATAGCCACTTATGCTAGTGATTTTTTTTTTTTTTAATTGACAACATAGGGCTAGAACGTTCACTCTACCTATAAAAATTCTAAAACTATCCTTTTAGGACATTTTAAATATCACTCCAATATAAAGCCATTTTTTTTTCTTTACTGGGGATTGAAAACAGGGGCATTTTACCACTGAGCTAAAACTCCAGTCCTATTTATTCATATTATTATTTTGAGACAGAGTCTCACTAAGTTGCTTAGGGTCTTGCTAAGTTGCCGAAGCTGGCTTGGAAACTGCAATCCTCCTGCCTCAGCCTTCTGAGTTGCTGGGATTAGAGGTATGTACCACCACTCTTGACTAAAGTCACTATTGATTCCTTCAACCAGATCTCTCTTCCTTTTATGCTTTTCATGTACTTGCTATATTCTAATTTGTATTATATATACTTGTATATTTCTTTTTTCTCACTGCTCCCCTACCTAGGAGGGTGACAAATGAGTGTCATTTGTGTATTTCCTATGATTCTTGTTAGTCTTTTGTTTTGGTACCAGGGATTGAGCCCAGGGTGCTTAACCACTGAGCAACATCCCCAGCCCTTTTTCTATGTTTTATTTAGGGACAGGGTCTCGCTGAGTTGTTTGAGGCCTTGCCAAGTGGCTGAGGCTGGCTTTGAACTCACCATCCTCCTGCCTCAGCCTCCTGAGATGCAGGGATTACAGGTGTGCATCATCGCACCCAGCCTTTATTAGTCTTGAATATGAGGGTATCTAATAAACAACAGATTTTGAAAGACTGATAGATAAATGGGAACTAGTTCTCACTTGGAACAAAGGGACTTGAATTTATTCTGCTTAGTTCAAGTTGGAGCAGATCATCCTAATAAATTAACAGTCTGAAGTGAAGCATCATTATTTTAGATACCCCTATAATAAGATTTCATCAAAAAATAAATTTAAAATTCAGCATGGATAGCCCCAAACATTCTGATAACAACCTTGATCCACTTGTTACCTTACTTCCATGAATAGATGGTACATAAACAACAAGATGAGACAAAGATGGATAGTCTTGAAGTCTTAACGTCAGAGACTGAAAAAAAGATAAAAAAGCTACTTTTATTTCTTAAATAGACAAAGATTAGAATATGCTAAAAGAAAGATAAATTACAAACACTTGTTTCTCAATTAGTTATTAAAAAAACATTTCATAGAGTGTGTGCTTAGCACATGTAAGAGACCCCTGGATTCAATTCCCAGCCCCGGCCGCACGCACACACTTCAAATTTATGTTCCATACTTCATAATATGCCCATGTTTACATTTTCAGGTAAATAATTAAATTTACAGAAAATCAGATTCCTAATAATTATGTTAAATATGAACTTCTCAAAATATTCCTTGACATATCCCTTCACGTAAAACAAATGGCACTTAAAAAACATTATTTTATAATGCACTATATACACTGTATTTTATATCATTATTTTCAGCATTGGTTTTTTTTTTTGTAATAGGACTATTTGTTACAGATGGCAATACAGCATTATTTCCATGTTTTGGTAGTATATGACGAAGAACATTGAGTAGTTGATGAATGGATGACAGGTATGATAGAAAACTTTTATAATTTTAATCTCAAATGATTCTGAGTTTAAGTAGTAAAGAGTTGCAGATAAATGGTATAGATAAACATCATGCCCTGAAATTTATTAAAAATAACAAACACACAATATGGCTAATAATGTATCTCACTGAAGGAAATAAATTTCTCAAAGGAAAGATTCTATCATCCATGTTTTGAGGAATAAATAGGTAGGAGATTGATCTATTTAATAAAATAAAAGCCTCCCAATAAAGTTTTTTTAATTTTATTTATTCTAATTTGTTATATATATGACAGCAGAATGCAATTCAACTCATATTACACAAATAGAGCACAATTTTTCATGTCTCTGGTTGCACACAAAGTAGAGCCACACCATTCATGTTTTCATACATGTACTTAGGGTATTGATGTCTGTCTCATTCCACCATCTTTCCTAGCCCCAACCCCCACTTCCTTCCCCTCCCTCCCCTTTGCCCTATCTAAAGTTCATCTATTCCTTCTACACTGCACCCACATCCCCATTATGAATCAGCATCCTTATCTCAGAGAAAACATTCAGCATTTAGTTTTTCTGGGATCAGCTTACTTCACTTAGCATAATATTCTCCAACTCCATACATTTACCTGCAAATGCCATGATTTTATTCTCTTTTAATGCTGAATAATATTCCATTGTGTGTATGAACCACATTTTCGTTATCCATTCATCTACTGAAGGACACCTAGGTTGGTTCCACGATCTAGCATGGTGAGAGATAGTGGCTTAATTTCACTTTGTTACATATGGATTTCCAGTTTTCCTAGCACCTTTGTTGAAGAGGCAATCTTTTCTCCCACATATGTTTTTGATGCCTTTGTCTAATATAAGATCACTGTAATTATGTGTGTCTGTCTCTCTGTTCTCTGTTTTGTACCTTTGGACTACAAGTCTATTTTGTTGCCAATACCATGCTGCTTTTGTTACTATTGCTCTGTGGTATAGTTTAAGGTCTGGTAATAATGATACCACCGGCTTCACTGTTCTTACTAAGGATTGCTTTAGCTACGCTAGGTCTCTTATTTTTCCCAGTAAAGTTTTTAATCCAGTTTTTCTCCTGGAAATAGATGTGGGATGTATTAAGAAATTCCTATAGCAGTTAAATTTTTTCCACTCGTTTTCAGAAACATTAATGTGGCCAAGTAGGACAGAGGTGCTGAAGCTAAAAAATTGTCAGTGAATTGAATGGCCCTCTAACAACCTGACAAAAAGCCTAACTTAGCAGTCTCTGGCCATACCCATGTGTTATAATTAAAGGACCACATAAATCAGTTACATCCCACCAGACAAATGGTAGATAATTAATTAGGAATTACCTGAATATTTTTGTGTAGCTATTTACTCTAATAGCTTCTAAGTATTTATTTCAAACAATGGCAAAGTTTTGAATCTTGAAGTTCTTCGTTGAAGGATTCCATCTACTTTTTCACAGTTTAGTCAGTAGAGATGCCTAAAACTGATACAATTCTCATCTGACATTACCTTTTTAAATATAATATTAGCATGAATAAAACCTATGAAGTTTTCACTCTAATCACTCCTTCAACCTTGTGGCAAAATAACTTTTTGCTACTTACAAACAGTTAACTCACATTATATTAAATATTGATTTTCATTAAAAGTTTATATCTAATAATTATAACCTTTTTAATTTGAGAATGCCTAAGGTTGTAGAGTATTATTATTATTATTATTATTATTATTATTACTATTTTATTTTATTTTATTTTATTTTTGGTGCTGGGGATCAAACCTAGGGCCTTGTGAATGCAAGGCAAGCACTCTACCAACTGAGTGATATCTCCAGCCCAACTGTAGACTATTATAATCTTTGTTTTCTAACTTCTCTCTTCTAGCATTCTCTACAGAAAGCAAGCTGCTGGAATAGCTTATTCACCCAGTTGTTTTTTAAATTCAGAACAAATGGCACAGGGGCCTAGTTTTTGATGAACACATTGTTCAATCTTTGGAAATCTAAAAAAAACAGTATTAGCATTTTATAATTTTAAACTACAGGAGCAAAGTACATTTTATAAGGTTTTTATTTGTTTGTTCCTAACTCTTACATTATAATATGGATAGAATATCTAAATTGGAATTCAGGAAACATTTAATAAACCGTATGAACAATGATCATTAAATATATCCTAATACTTTTGTTTGTTCTGAGCCTTCCTGGAAGATTAGGCTTGAACCAGTGAGTGATCTTAAAAATGTACATGAGTCAAATTACTTCCTTACAATCTGTAGGGAAATTAAATAATAGAAATATAAGTAATATCCATTTCATGAATGAACATGCACAAAGTAAAGACTGAACAAGGTGGCAAAAAAATTGCAACCATTCAAGTGTAAATGATTTGCAATTATGTTTTCTGCCATCATGCCTCTCTGTTAAAGTTTCTCTCTTCAGTACAAACTACATAGACAAATAAGTATAAACATTCATAAGCAAAAGTAACTTAATTGTTATTAATTAGAAGATAACTGGGACCAACCAGATTGATTTCATTTTTTTTTTTTTTAATTTTTAATTTTTTATTGTGGGTTGTTCAAAACATTACAAATTTCTTGACATATCATATTCCACACTTTGATTCAAGTGGGTTATGAACTCCCACCTTCACCCCATACACAGCTTGCAGAATCACATCGGTTACACATCCATTGATTTACAAATTGCCATACTAGTGTCTGTTGTGCTCCGCTGCCTTTCCCATCCTCCACTCTGCCCCCTCCCCATCTCTCCCCTCCCCTCCCCTCCTCTCTCTCTACCTCCTCCACTGTATAACCCTGAGGGTCTCCTTCCATTACCATGCAATTTCCCTTCTCTCTCCCTTTCCCTCCCACCTCTCATCCCTGTTAAATGTTAATCTTCTTCTCCTGCTCTTCATCCCTACTCTGTTCTTAGTTACTCTCCTTATATCAAAGAAGACATTTGGCATTTATTTTTTAGGGATTGGCTAGCTTCACTTAGCATAATCTGCTCTAATGCCATCCATTTCCCTGTAAATTCTATGATTTTGTCATTTTTTAATGCAGAGTAATACTCCATTGTGTATAGATGCCACATTTTTTTTATCCATTCGTCTATTGAAGGGCATCTAGGTTGGTTCCACAGTCTTGCTATTGTGAATTGTGCTGCTATGAACATCGATGTAGCAGTGTCCCTGTAGCACGCTCTTTTTAGGTCTTTAGGGAATAGACCAAGAAGGGGAATAGCTGGGTCAAATGGTGGCTCCATTCCCAGCTTTCCAAGAAATCTCCATACTGCTTTCCAAATTGGCTGCACCAATCTGCAGTCCCACCAGCAATGTACAAGTGTACCCTTTTCCCCACATCCTCGCCAGCACTTGTTGTTGTTTGACTTCTTAATGGCTGCCAATCTTACTGGAGTGAGATGGTATCTTAGGGTGGTTTTGATTTGCATTTCTCTGACAGCTAGAGATGTTGAGCATTTTTTCATGTACTTGTTGATTGACTGTATGTCCTCCTCTGAGAAGTGTCTGTTCAGGTCCTTGGCCCATTTGTTGATTGGGTTGTTTGTTCTCTTATTGTCTAATTTTTTGAGTTCTTTGTATACTCTGGATATTAGGGCTCTATCTGAAGTGTGAGGAGTAAAGATTTGTTCCCAGGGTGTAGGCTCCCTGTTTACCTCTCTTATTGTTTCTTTTGCTGAGAAAAAACTTTTTAGTTTGATTAAGTCCCATTTGTTGATTCTAGTTATTAACTTTTGTGCTATGGGTGTCCTATTGAGGAATTTGGAGCCCGACCCCACCGACTGTAGATCGTAGCCAACTTTTTCTTCTATCAGACGGCGCGTCTCTGATTTGATATCAAGCTCCTTGATCCATTTTGAATTCACTTTTGTGCATGGCGAGAGAAAGGGATTCAGTTTCATTTTGTTGCATATGGATTTCCAGTTTTCCCAGCACCATTTGTTGAAGATGCTATCCTTCCTCCATTGCATGTTTTTAGCCCCTTTATCAAATATAAGAAAGTTGTAGTTTTGTGGATTGGTTTCTGTGTCCTCTATTCTGTACCATTGGTCCACCCGCCTGTTTTGGTACCAGTACCATGCTGTTTTTGTTACTATTGCTCTGTAGTATAGTTTGAAGTCTGGTATCGCTATACCGCCTGATTCACACTTCCTGCTTAGCATTGTTTTTGCTATTCTGGGTCTTTTATTTTTCCATATGAATTTCATGATTGCTTTCTCTATTTCTACAAGAAATGCCGTTGGGATTTTGATTGGCATTGCATTAAACCTATAGAGAACTTTGGGTAATATCGCCATTTTGATGATGTTAGTTCTGCCTATCCATGAACAGGGTATATTTTTCCATCTTCTAAGATCTTCTTCTATTTCTCTCTTTAGGGTTCTGTAGTTTTCATTGTATAAGTCTTTCACCTCTTTTGTTAGGTTGATTCCCAAGTATTTTATTTT